ACGGTACCTTCATGCACAGTTTCTACTGGTCTCTGCAGGAGCACAAGGAAATATTTTTTTTTTAAGTGAAGTTTTTAGGTAGTTTTTTTTAAAATTATCTCCACAGTCTTCTTTTTAGTTCTCTTCTCCTATCAATAGCATTTCTACAATGCCTTCCATCCCTATTGCTTGAATTCACACTAACTCAGGTAATCATTGTTCTCCTGCTTTCCACATTTTTCCTTTTTATTCAATAGGAATTTTATTTCATGACTTATATTTATATCCTAACTGACTGATACTAAGGGGTTACTACAGCCAACAATTTACATTTTCAGGCAGTAGTAAGCAAGTAGAGAGTATTCAATGATGGGAGAGGGGATTTTCTTCTTGGGCTTGAGTTAAAGATAAAATTGCCTTAACTCAGTCCAAATATAGGGTCTGTAAACTTTAAATATATAGGTAGATAGAGAGACAAACAGATAGATAGCTTTCAATAGAATTCATTTTATTTGTAATCCTATGCATTTTAAAACATTATTCTGAGAAGGAATTTCCACAGGTTTCTTTCAAAGAGGTCCAAGACACAAGAAAATGTTAAGAACTCCTGTTTCTAGTCCTTTCAGGGTCCCTGGGACAGAAGGGACAGAAGGTTACTTGGATCTTTCCACCCAACATCCTTCTTTCCTCCTTCCTTTCCTTTTCATCTTCAACCCTAACCCATCCACAAGACTTCTCTTCTCTCTGTTCTCTCTCATTTTTCCCTAGGGATCCACCCATGGTTTTGTATTCTACTCCTCCAACATAGTGATTCTGCAGTACCCCCTCATAGGAAATTATGCCTTTCAAGTACTGCAAAGTCTAAAGATCCAGAGCTCTGACTTCCTTAATCTGTGTACAGTAGCACCCAATGCACAGCCCTGGAAACACAGAAACTCTGGATGGGTAAGTGCAATGATGCCCACGGGTAGAGTTCAGGGCATCTCAGATCTGGGCATGGAGATAGGAGAAGAGAATGTTTGTTTTCACTGGACAAACACAAATTAATAGTCATTTGAATTGTGACTTGCATAATTACAATACAGTAGCAATAGTTGGAATTACTATAGCATTTTAATGCAAAGCATTTTCAATACATTATTTCATATGTTCCTCACAAATACCTTGGGAGGTAGGTGTGATTATTTCCCTTTTACAAATGAGGAAATTGAGGCTGAGACTGGTTAAATGACTTGCCCAGAGTCGCATAATTGGTAAGAGTGAGACAGGATTCAAATTGAGGTCCTCCTGCCTCCAAGTCCAACCTTCTAGTTCTTGTTCCACCTAGTTTTCTCTACAGGCAATAACAATAGAGAGTATTTAAGTGTGAGAATAAATTTGCTGTAAGTTTTATTTGATCACAACAGTAAATTCTAAGGCAAAGGTTGCCCTTAGAGGAAAGGTCTCAAGATCTTAAGAATGAGATTCTTTCTAACAAAACAAACAATTCTATCTAAAGAACTGTCTTCTTTTATTATTTTATTGCTACATTTTTTGGACCCATATGTGTCAGTATGTTATTTGTTATTGTTGTTTTCTTTTATGCCAAGAAGCAGCCTGATTTATTGACTAGAGCGCTGGACTTTGAACCAAGAACTGGGTTTGAGTCGTGCCTCTGCATTTACTAGCATTGAGACCTTGGACAAGTCACTTTAAATCTCTCTGGGCCTCAATTTCCTCACTCTTAGAATAGGGGATTGAATTCAGTGACCATCATGGTTTCATTCATTGTGTGTAAATGTTTGTTTGTATTTATATGTGTGTATGTAGGTATATGTGTATATGTATATATATATATATACACACACACACATATATGCATTCCTGTTATATGCTTGCTATATATATACACACCCACACATATACATATATCATATAAATACATATACACACAGTATACGCATATATGTGTATAATTATACACACATGTGTACATGCTGTGTATGTGTTTGTGTATACACACGAATGAAATCACATATACTCACAGAAAATGAAATCCTGTAGATCCATGCACACATTCATGTATTTTAACATTTCTTTCATTATCCTGCACCACCTTAGACAAGTGTTCTATATTTCTGTGAATTCTTCATATTCATTGCTTATTACAACTTAAATTATATTTTTAAAAAGACTGCAGTGTTCTAATAACACTTACGGAAGCAGAAGCCAAATAAATAAGAGTGGCACTTCTCCATGAGAATAGTGTTAGAACCATCAAAGCTAAGAACGAGGTAAGGTTGTCAATGAATTCAAAGGACAAGAAAGGATTTTTTTTTAAAAGTAGCTCTGTAAGTACCTAAAAGATCACAAAAAAAATAAGACAGAAAAATGGATGGATAAGGATTAATACGTGGATGACCATAATGAATGATGGAGGGAATGTGGGGATTATAATTGCTCAACCTACAAGAAAAAACACTGAGGCAGAGCTCTGAGCCAATGGCACTTTATTAAAAGTTCTGTGGTCTCCTCTAATGAAGTGGACCTCAGATCTTCTGATCTGAGATTCCCCCTTCTTCCAGGAGGTTTGTTTTTATAGGACTCAAATATGCAAAATAGGCATGGTGATATACAGAATCTCATTGGTTGATACACCTTGCTCTTGAGGGCCAAAAAAGACATATGGGGGTGAGGTGTCACAGGTTGGGTGAAACATGGTCATAAGTGGTCATAAGATGGTCACTTGCTCATGGTGGATAAGAGAGAGGACTTTCTATGTAATTGAGTCACCTTTGCCACATTGGGCTTGGTTATCATGGCAAGGAAAACAAAGATGGAGGGCCCCTAGTTAGCTTCTTATGATGAAGCAAGTGAACTTACAATCTGCAGTTCACAGCTCTGGATTCTGATATACAGAATTTATAATCACTACCTCTACGGAATCAAATTGATTAATATTGATTGGAATAGGGTAGGGGTCCAAACGAATTATTTCCCACAGGAAGACAACTACTTGACTTGCACTATTTTGTTTATTTCTGGTGGGGGGATGATCTTTTGCTATTGGAAGTATGGATCAAAAATTGTTAACTATGAGTTGAAACCAAGATAAGAGTAGAAATGAGAGAGCACTTAGTGATTAGCTAGTTAAAAGAATTCAAATAACAAGTAAATTGAGACCCAGAGAAGTGAAATGATTTGCCTAGTGTCATAAAGATTGTGACAGGCAAGATTTTGAACCCAGGTCCTGACTCCAAAACTAGCTCTCAGATATCAATCAGTAAACATCTATTAAGGGTTTATTACTACTATTAGGTGAGTTCCTGTGGCAATACAATGAAAAAAAGTGAAATAATCCTTGCCCCCCCAAAGAGCTTAAGTTTTATTGGATCCACACATATTGAGTCACTTCAACCTGACTCCCTGTTACCCCATTTGAGGCTTTCTTTGGGTAAAGATACTGAATTGGTTTGCCATTTCCTTTCCTTTTTTTTTTCTCCTGAAATTGGGGTTAAGTGACTTGCCCAAGGTCACACAGCTAGTAAGTTGTCTGAGGTCACATTTGAACTCAGGTCCTCCTGACTCCTGGGCTGATGCTCTCCACTGCGCCACCTAGCTGCCCCTGCCATTTCCTTCTTCAACTCATTTTACAGATGAAGAACTGAGGCAAAGACGGTTAAGTGACTTGCTCAGGGTCACACAGCTAGTAAGTGTCTGAGGCTGGATTTGAATTTGGGAAGATGAGTCTTAATGGTTCCCAGCCCAGTGCTCTCTCCACCTTGCCACTTAACTACCTCTATACATGAGTATACACAAACAACCCATACAAAATAAGTCATGGAAATTGCCTTTCAGTGTTGTTGGAGGCAGTCGCTATCATTTTGCCCACAACTGTTCCATCGTTTTTGCCGACTAAATTTCCATGTAAATGGACATGTGACCCTATATGCCTAAGATCAAGTGATGTCAGTTTACATCTGAACTCAGGTCTTGTGAGATAAAAGATCTTGGTTTGCTCAGCGTGTGTGTGTGTGTGTGTGTACGTGTGTGTGTGTGTGTGTACGTGTGTGTGCGCGCGCTGAGGGGTGGGGATGGCAGGCAGAGTGGGAAGGGTTCAGACCTCTGATTGTACAGGTGCAGGGAATTCTTTCCGAAGAAACTATTTCTACCACTGCCCACCCTCCTCTGCTGTTCATTTTCAATTCTTCAGCAGTTGTCTGGGACAGTATGTAAGATGTGGCTTTCAGATGGACACAGCTGGTATATTAAAGAGGCAGGACTCGAATCCAGGTCTTCCAGGCTCCGAAAATGGCCCTCTCTATTAATTCCCTAATTCTGGCAGCCTTTCATAATTTTTATTACCAAGAAGTTGGAAGTTCTCCCTCTCCTACTACAGATCTCTACCTTTACCGACCTCTTTTTGCCCTCCTCTCATTTCATACCATCTTTTAAGTACCTACTATTTGCAAGTCTCCCTTGTTGACCCTTAAGATACAAAGTATTCCCTAAGTACAGTCCCTGCCTCTAAGGCACGGTAGGGATAATGCGCATACCCATGAAAGGTGAGGTAACTTGTATTTAGAGGATTACCTGGGGGAAGATTGTCAGAAAAAGCTTCCAGTTGGTGGTGGTCACAGATCTCTCTCCCCAAGGACAGAAGGATTCCCAGAAGCCTAGGTGAGGAGGGATAGCATTCTACCCATGAGGGTGGGTGAACCCATTTAAGCTAGACTCTGAATTTTTAAATTTATATAGTTCCTCCAACTCTCCAATGCCCCAGGCTCCCGGACCCCATGCTCCTTTTCTAAAGGTGTAGATAGCTTTACCCAGGTAGGGAGAGAGAGATCTCTTTCCCATCCACACACACGCAAACAGGCATAGGCTGCCGGGCAATGCTCAAACTAAGCCCAGACCCTAAATGACCTTACCAGGCCCAAGCACCACCTCCACTCAGGGAGAGGGGCGGGTCAGGAGGGCCCTTACTCTGTATCGGCTTCTCCCCCTCCAGAAGCGCACACAGCTGGAGCCCTGCCTGCGGAAGGTGTAGCCCGCGCCTCTGCAGCCGGGCTCGCCTCAGTGCCCACAAACAGGGCCCCTCCGTCTGTCCCTGGGTGGAGTGAGGTTGGCGGGGAGGGAAATGAGTGTAGAGATGAGGGTGGGGTGGGGGCGACCCACAAGTTTCTCCTCCTCCGTCCCAGCGGCCGCCTAGCTGCGGGCTCCTTGTAGCCTCTGGGTGCCGGGACTGTGTTAGCCGGGGTCTCAGCCCTCTTTACTAATGTTTAACCCAGGGCTGGAAACTTGGGAACGACCTGTGACACCGCACCCGGAGAAAGCGAAAAGCAGAGCTCCGGCTTCTCACCTCTTACTTTTGCTTTCTGCCTTGGCTCAGGGAAGACCAGCTTGAGGGGTGTTTCCGACAATGAAGGTCAGTAAGTAATGACATCTTGCCTTTCTTCGGCTCTTAGGTTTTTGGGGTCACTGTCCTATGCCTTCAGTGAAATTGGGCGCCACGGCACACTGCTCACGGGTTGAAATGAATTTTCGCAGCTCTCCTAGTCAGTTGAGGGAAGGTGCCCGAGCTTTTCTGCACAATTGGTTTCAGTCCCAGAGGACTTTTTTTTTGGGGGGGTGGCACAGGGAATCGGATTATGTTAGCAAGATAGAAAATGCACACAGTTTGTCATAGGTAATCGTAGATTTAGGGCTAAAAGTTTTGTTTTCATTCAAGCACACGCCGAAGAAACAATTCTTGTGCTTTCAAGGATGTGAATAATCATCTTCCTAAGTCATAATCACATGCAAACTCTGCCACTGACATTCACAAAGGCCTGTCCCACTGGATTCTTATTCAAATAGTGTGTAGAGAAGATAGCCAGCAGAACTGAGGAAGTTCAGAAATCTGACTTTCCTTACCAGCATTGACACTTGTGTCCTTGATCTCTCTGGGCCTCAGTTTTATTTTCTGTAAAATGTTGGGAGTCCGAGGTCTCTTCCAGAGATCCTCAACACAAACTTCCCTATTGACCCCTTTCTCCCTCAAGGTTAACACATGCACCAACTTACAAACCAATATAAAGCCATCAGTAATATGTCATTCTAATATTCCTCATCATTTCCTGTTTTTGCAGACAGTATGGGGTCTCTTAGTGTTGTTGGGGGCAGTTGCGGTCATTTTGATCATAACTATTCCATCGGTTTTGCTGACCCAAAAAAGTAAGTCTGAAACTTTGGTCTTTAAAGTGAAAAAATCATAGGAACAAGAATGTTGCTCTTTCTCATCATAATTAAGAAATCAGCACTGCTTTTGGGGTGTTAACTTTTGTAGGGTCTCAGTTGCCTTTAAGATAACTGAGCTTTTTCATAAAACCTAATCTGTTGTAGAGCCTTGGTAATTGTCAACTTTGTGGGCCCACTGTTATCAACACTTTGTATCTTCGCTATGTTTAGCACTGGGCTCTGCTACCTGGAGGCACATAATAAATCTTTATTGTCCTTAGTGCTCAGGCAGTAATTATTTAATCACTAAGTAACTTTTGTAGAATACAAAGCCTTTGAGTGCTGAGTATTTTTCCTCGGTGTTTGTATTCCCTATCTCTAAAATCAGAGAAAGTCTTGTACATCCAAAGTGCTTACTTACTACATGCTTGTTGGATTGGTATTAACATGCTATACAAGGAAAAATTCCAGTAAAAGAAACTGACTTTACAGATCCCAGTCATAGCTAATCTGCGGTTCCATGTAGACTAGCAGAAATAACTTCCCCTCCCCCATAAGATTTAAAGAAAAAGGGAAATAATTTAGTTTATTTCAAGGGTGCTGAAATGTGGTTTAAAAAAGGCAGAACAAAAACTCATCTCTTTTTTGGTTGGGAGGGCTGGAAGAAACTGTATGAGTGTTTTTAGATCTGGAACAATTTTATCATGTCAATACTGCTTGTGATGCTCAGTAGCATCACATAGGTAGCTGCTCAGTTAAAGGTACCTCAGTTTTCTTCTACTCAATTGTATTTCCCACTGGTCCTTATCATTAACAGGTACAAAGTACACATTAATCAAATGTTGAATATTAATTAACTGCCAGTTTCTGATTGAATTCTCTTTCCCCAGCATCCTCTTTAAATTCTTAATTTGCTTGAAAATTCAGAAGCCAGCACTGAATAAGATGCATCATTTGCTCAAAAAGAAGCATTACCTTGGAATTTTTTTTAGTCCAGACAGGTGATTTCATTTCTGTGTAGGGATCTCTTCTCTCTCTCTCTCTCTCTCTCTCTCTCTCTCTCTCTCTCCCCCCCTTCCTTCCTCTCCCTCTTTCTTCCTCCCTACCCCCCTTTATCATTGCATGCTAGTAACTGCTCAGCAGTATCTTTAGTCTTATAGAGCCTTAAATCTTTATAATCTTAGAGAGCTAAGATTGTGAGAGATTAAGTGAGTTTGGGGAGGGGACTGTCATTCCTTTAAATGGATCATGTATAGGTGTAGTGCATAGAGTACTGTGTCTTAGGCAGCTCTCTAAAGTCATCTTTAAAGACTACTCCAAAGATTTACCTTCAAATTCTTGAGTGGTTTTTTCCATTCCTGAGATGAAAGGGATGTCAGAGGTTATTTAGTCCAACACAAGTGAAGTGAGTTTTCACATATAGTTTCCCTAGTCACTAGAGAATTTGAAATAGAGTATTTAAACGACTGGATAGTCTCAGTCCAAATTCCATAATCAAAGTTCGTAATTATTCTCTGCAGTTTACATAACTCTATTCAGGTAGTTTCTCACAGGTATATTGTAATTACAGTTAAAAGAGGTCATATATACCAAGAAAGTTAAAGGCAAAATAATCTGATAGGGTTAACCCTAGTTACATTTATTGTATTTCCTCTGTCTTAGTTTTTGGAAAGCTAAGTCTGACTTATGCTTGTGTCTAGCCCTGAAATAAATCAAAGCCATGAGTTGAGGAATAAAGCATCTTTAATTGAGATTACAGGATAGCAAACCTATCACCCTGGGGGATGTCCAGTGGATTTCCCAAAGAGACCTATGAAAAAGTTTTTGTAGTTTTAGGAGGGGAGTGGAGGGGAGGAGATAGGTGAAGTAGCAAGGCCTGGTCATGAGACCCAAGTGGCCCTTAAGCATCCGGGCAAGGAAAGCCACCTCATTCTGGCAGTTTTGCCTTTCATGCCACGAATCCTAATGGAAGGGGGCAAGGGCACTAGAAGTTGGGATCCAGCTTGAGCAGGGCTCCCTTGCAGGGCAAAATCCCTAGGTGGGGGGGATGTAGGGTATGCTTTTGTTCAACCTAATCAATAGTAAATAACTTAAGAGTAGGGATGCAAGGGCATTACTGAAATCCTGACATTACAAGGACCATTTAAGGGAATGGTAGTCCATATTGCATTTGGTATTAACAATTTGTACATTAACATGTATATTGTCCATTTTCTGTCACTTGTAAAATTTATATAGCAGAAACTGATTTTTTTTTTACAAAGCAAAGTTTTATATACTTAAATGAACAGTACAAACACAATCCATTGGGGGAGAAAATGATAATTTTCATTGTCCATTTCTTAAAATTGCTACACATTAAACAAGGATCTTAATGTACTTTGAGTTTGAGGGGAATAGTCAGGAGGCCCTTCTGGTCTCAGTTCTGTTTTTTGATTAACAGAGAGGTAGGAGATGGAGGAGAGCAGGAGAGAAGGGCTCAGGAATGCAGCATTTCCATTAGATCAGAAATACTGGACCTAGGCTTTGCTTTTGAATAAAAATGTCAGCAGTTATTGAGACTGGAGAGTTATTTCCTGAGAAATTTCCTCTGCATTTTCAATCCAGGTTGGAAGGAAATTACAGAGATACAGGACTGGGAAAAATAAAAATATTTTATAAACAATAAACAAAGCCCTGGATTATGTGAAAAGCTAAGCATAAAACAGCCAAGAAGAAACAACCAGAATGGCTTCTCCCTAGAGAGGTTTGTAGATGTGGAGGTCAAGTTTGTTCACTTGAAGTGCTCACTTGGGCAGGACTGTGCAGGCACAGCTGGAATAGCATGAGAGAGACAGTGAATAAGAGAAACAGAGAGACCAGAAACTCATGCTGGAAGCAGACACTACAAACTTCAATAACATGGTCTTAATGTTACTAACTTGGTTTTAGAATGAAAATTCCTTGAAGGCGGAAATTATGCATTATCTACACTGTCTGCCACATTTATTTGAGGGTTCTTGATTAAAAATCTGTCTCAAATAGTTTTTGGAAGGTTAGCAGAAATGTAGCCTTGTATGCCAACACTTTAATGTCCCTAAAATTCAGTAATATGTATGGGAACTGGATTCCTAATAAACTACAGAAGTCTTCTTGGTCAACAATAACAGCAAATTGCCTCATAGTCTGGTTTAATTCAACAAATTTAATTCAATTTAAAAAATAATTTATTGAAATCTTCTGTTTTTAAAGACCTTCATTTCCCAGTATATCTCTTTCTTTTCTCTTATCCAGTGAGTCATCCTTTCTAACAAAGAATTAAAAAGAGGTTTTAAAAAAAAAAAGGTTAGTAAAACTAACCAATATGCCCACTGAGTCTGAAAGCTTTTACAGTGTTCCATACCCATTGTCTGCTACCTGCAAAGAAGGGGGTGATGGGTTTCTCATTTTGGGGCCAAGCTTGGTGATTATAATTACTCAGCATCCAGTCTTTTTTTCTTTCTCTCTCTCTCTCTCTCTTTGTCTTCCTTCCTTTCTTTTTGATTCTTTCCATTTCCACATATGTATAAAGCACCTACTATGCTTAAAGCACTATGCTAGATCTTAAGGTTGTAAGTCATTCATTCCTCCTTCAAAATATAATTTTATCCTTGTTTTTGCTATGTTGTATATACTTCCCATCAGATTCATTTTGTAATCATGTAGTCATCAATAAACATGTCCTACTTCTTGTGCTCAGTTTCCTTAAAGACTTATAGAATTTCTCAACTTGACCAGGGAAACTGGTTACCAAAGATTTGTCTAGCATTATTGAGAGGAAAGTTTATATGAAGAATAAGATCAGAAAAAAGCAAAACACCAAACCAAAAAGAAAAAATGATGACTTTTGAGATTTATTTGAAAAAGTTCAGGAAGGCAATTCAAATTTTTTTTGTAATTTCCAGAGAAATTTTTTTTTAAAAACAAAATAGCTGTGGTCCTTCACAGATTAGTTATCATTTGAGTACAGTGTTGATGAAGTAAGGGGCTTGAACTCTTTATACCCCAGATGGCTTCACTTGGTTCCCTGACCATAGATTGTGCCTTTCACACACGTCAACTAGACATGTTGCACAAACATATCCTACCACCCTCAAAAGAGTTCAGCCACTGAAAGACTGTGGTTACTCAGTTTGAAAAAACAAAAAACTGCTAGAAAAGCAACTCTACAAACATCCTTCACTGGTGGTGTGTAACGGCTGAACTGAAGAAGGAAGAATCAGCAAAAATGAACTTTAATTAATTACGTATGGAAACTATAGGTGGAAGTCACACAACTGTGGTGACTAAGTGACTATTTGTGTATGTTCTTTGATTTCATCTGGGCCTTCACTGCTGCAAAGGCATTTTTCTATTTTTCCCTCTGCCATGAAAGCTTCTCTCTTCAACTGAACTCTCACAACTTCCCTTCCCTCTCTGCTCATCTGCCCGGAGCTCTTTTTTCTAATGACAATAGCTAGTATGTATAAAAGCCCTTTAAGGTTTGTAAAGCCCTTTTGCATACATTATCTTGTTTGATCCTCACAACAGTACTGTCAGGTGGGTGCATTTATCCCCATTTTATAGATGTGGACACTCAGGATGAAAACTTGAGTGACTTGCACAGGGTCACAGGCTGCTAAGTGCATGAGGAAGGATTTGAGCTCCACTGTCCTCCCAAGTCCAGCAGTCAATGCATCATGACATCTAGCTGCCTTCTGCCATTCTTTGTCATTCTCTTCAACTGAATGCTTCTGGACTATCCCCCACTCTCCTCTTTTTCTCCATTCTTTGATATTGAGGTGTCCCTTCTCCAATGAAGCCTTTGCTCCTATGTTCTCTGGTGTTCTGCAGGACCTTGCAACTTGAATCATCCACTCTTTAATTTGAAGCCTTCAAGCATAGCTAAGTTCCTTTTCCCCTCTTTAAATTTTTTTTTTACTAGACCCTACTATCATCCTCTCAAGCTGTCCTCCTCTCTGTCTCCTTCCTTTCTTAGC